TTATATGGGGGAATAACTATAAAATGCTGTGACTTGCACAATAAAAAGACACTACAAACTCTTCCTTCAACTTTTTTTTTAATCCTCTTCTGGAAGACATGTCTCCAGTCAGTGAAAATCTCAGATACCAATTGCACATAAGGCCCTGAACAACTTTATAGTGGCTTCAGTAAAAGTATGCTCCCCTTAGAAAGAGGGAAATGTTTCTTTGATTCTAAATGTTAATTCTCATTTGAATCTCCCCCACATCTCTCACCTATGAGTGAATGTATTTCACACGGGTAAGCTTAGAAAAGAATCACAGCCTTTTACTGGAAGTTATATTTCATAAAACAAGATCAAAAATGTCAACAGCGAACACGTTGAGGAGGTGCCATTTGAAAATATTCCTTTGAACTCATTTGACCAAGGCTATTGTTTGGAGTTTAAAAAAAAAAAAAAATCACACCTGTGTGCAGATAGATAGGCTGTCTTTATCTGGTAAGAACAAGGTGCGGAGACTTGTGCGATAGATAATTAATCTCTATTGCTATCTATAGTTTCATTGTTAACACGGTCTTGGTTGAAGTGTGAAAATATGTTCACACTTTTGAAAATGGGCGATTAACTAATCAAGTGACAATATAAATCTTAGAAACACAGAAATGACTGCAATCCTACACTACTTATATTTTTAATTTTATAAGAAAAACATTATCTCAAGCATCCTTCAAGACTATAAGGGAAGTTAGTGGATTTTCCCCACTGTAATAATCAGTGTAGAAATTGTGACCACCATGATGGGTCTATTTTCACTAGAGCACCCAACATTTTACCCTCAGGGCATTAACTACAGGGAAAATTTTCCTTGTATAGACAAGTTCCAAGAGACTGTAACAGATAGATGACATAAGCAGCACTGAATAACCAGGGGCAGATACTATTAAGCAGTAGCCACTGTCCCATTAAAGCCCTGTTAAGTTACACTTGTGTGTATTAAGTACTACTGGTTAATGCCCCAGGAGATGTCCCAATTAAGCAAGTTTTCTGGGTAAGTATGCCAGTTAGATGAAGCATACGGTACTAACTTGTATTGAAGTGCTATGCTGCAAAAGCCCACACATTTCAGCATAACTTCACAGGGCTGCAGAACTTGTGCAAGACTCATATTAAAAAATATTTGACTAAACACAAATTACATTCCCCAGATGTCACTTCAAAACCCTTCCCTGGGATAAGATGCAAGTTAGACCTCATGTTTAAGGGAGACCCACTTTGCACTTTTTTTTTTTCTTTCTTTTTTTTTTCTTATTTTTAATGAAACCATCCCTTTATACCCTTGCATGCTCCAACAAGTGGAGTTCATGCAACAGGCACTTCCACATGAATGAAGTAAATCTTACCTGTTCTCTCTCTGTAGGTTGATGATCTAATTTACATCTAGACTGCATATAAAAGCATGTAGAACATGTATCTACAAAGTGTTTAAATTTTTATCTGTTACTAAAATTCTTCATACAGATCTTAAGACTTCACATCTCTAACACAGTAACGTCCTCCTTTCTGGCCATGAAAATTGTTCTGTTTATAGTCATTGAAAAAGTGCTACAAGAAAATAATTTACTTACATCACTGAGTCAGTCACTGTACCACCTCCTGAGAGCACTGCATGGACTCCCAAGTCAGACACAAGCTATTTATCTTAATTTAAAGCCCTTTGTGGACAGTTTCTGTCTTAATGTCTAAAAAAAATCGCTTTCGTATGCGATTCCTGCTCCATGTAATGCCAGTCTCATTTACTTATCTATCAAGATAAGACTTTCTCTGGCACTTTCTGATAGCTCTGAATAGCATGAAACTATTATCAGACCCACATCTGCATATTCCCTCACTCAAAACCTATTTCAGCCCCTCAAATCTCCAGAACAAACTTGTTCTATCCATTTTTTTGCTTTGTATTTGTTTTTAATTCCCCAGGATGTCTCATACTCCCTTGTAGTTCTTAACATTCTTCATTCTTGTTCGTCACATACGAAAATAAGACTTGCAGAAAAATCTTGTTTCTGCTTCTCAGGCCTGTTACTGAAAGAAGCAGGAGAGGACAACTTCCCCAAGTTACACAGTTGTTGGACTTTTCTTTTTGTATTTATTGTCTTCATCAAAGAAGAGAAATACTACTTTCAAAGCAAAGTTCTGTCTAGCCTAGTATCCTGTCCCTGAAAACGACCGAATTAACACAATAGAGCTGACATTAAATTTCAAAGATCTTAATCTTAAATAAATCTTCAAAGTTCTGATTCTGCAGGGCATATATAAATACCAGTAGCCAACAGTTTAAGAGCAGCAAACATGACTAACTTCTATTTTTTTTTTCAATCAACTTACTGTTGTAGGTGCACATTCTTCTTTTTCGTCCTCATGCTGAAAGCTCCTTTCTGTGTTTTCTGGTATTTTCTCATTGCATATATGTAATAACTCTTCACAGATTGGCTGGTATCTTTGCTTTTCTAACACTCTCTTACATTCACTGCAGAAGTGGCATAGTCCAAAAACCCTTAATAAAACAAATACAAATGAATTGATATGTTGCGTTTTCTTTGCCCTGTTCAATTAAAATTATTAAATCAGTGTATAAACATTTACTGAAGTGGTACAGTTTGAAGTTACAGAAAACAAATGTAATATCCACATTTTACTCTAAAGAATGTGATCAAACTTGTGGATTAAAAAAAAAAAAAAGGCATCAAGACACTTAATGCTCCATAACAGAAATGCTCTAGATCAGTAAGGCCAAAAGCATTCGTGTGGAAGATTTTGCCTACATCACGCTCTACTAATTTCTGTGATCGAATCGGCACGAAGAACTTGGCTCTTAGTGTGGCCTTCAAGTTGAAACAATCCATTTTCAAATAAAGGGACTGAATTTTCATATGGAGAGAATAACGTAAATCTGGGAAAGAAAATGTAACTTGAAATTCGTACCTTTAATGAAAAATCATTTTAAGAATAAACAGCATAATTGTGAACAAAATTCTTCCTACTGATTTTTTTCTAGGCTGCTTATTGTTATCTTCCAGAGGCATATAAGGTCTATATGGGTTTGGAGAAGACTCCTGGATTTCTCACTTCCCTGAGAATGCAAAGTTTAAAGCTCAGTTGCTTTCCACTGAATAGGATTAACAATGCAGGATAAGACGGAATGCTATATTTAGAAGAATTTTTGCAGTCTTGTGAAGAGGCTACTGCATAAACCAACTAATTTCCCGTATCACCTGTCAGTCTAAAATGCCAAAGAGGCTGGTAGGAAAAGAGAGTAGGCTCTTTGAAAACTCTTGTTAAAACAATGCCTGACTTTCTGCTCTTACTACATGTCCATGTTTTTAATGTCTCTTAATTTCTAGGGAATCATGTTCTCAGGGTTTTGAATGTATGGTACTTTCTCATAGGCTTTTTTATTCCATGTTTTGTTTCTGGAAGTGGTCAGCCTGGCCTCATGCCACTAGTAATTGAAGAAAGACCTATAGACTTCCTCATTTGTGTAACAGTTTTTCATGAGCAACTGCATTTTTCTTCAAACTCTGTCTTAAAACCCGAATCTTTTTAGTAACCAGGCAGCTGGTAGCCCATATTCATGCCTCTGTAGCGTATCAAAAGCATGTTTGACCTTTTCATTCCTAGCATTTACTATGCAATGTTTTGCATGGCAAGATCCTTTTCCTAGGTATAAGTTTGAAAAAAATGACAGGACCTTGACACAACATAAAATGGAGATATTTGAAATCCTTCATGCTGAACTGCACAAACAAGAGACAAAAAAATGTAGGCTTTAAGTAACTGAAGTATGGAGCAACCCAGCTGCTGCGTTTTGCTAGGCTGGCCACGGTATCAACTGGAATTTCTGTAACGGTGTTTTGCCTGGGTTTCTGCTGTGACAGCAATTTCTTTATTCCTCCATCACCTGAACCCCTGTCGCAGGAACGTGGTCCCAGAGGCTTAAAGAGAGGGTCTCTTGCCTATACACCACGAAGCCCTTTTTAAAGGGCACAAACTCAACGATGAAAGCAGCCACCATTGTAATTCTTCAAGGTCTCGCTGCAGAAGCCTGACACCCCAAGGGCTCCCTCGGCCGAAGGCTGCGACACCCCACCCTGCGGGCCTGCCAGGGGCTGCACCCACACGGGTCTGCATAGGGCTCCCGGGGATAGCCGGTGTTCTCTGTACCCGGACCTGCAGGGCCCCCTCGGTGGCTCCCAGAGGCCGAGCCCACCCACGCTCCCTCAGCCCCGTCCACCACACCTCGCCCAG